AACCCCACAAGCCCCCCCCTCGGACCCCGGCCCCTCGGCTCGCTGGCTCGCCGGCGGCTTCTGCCTTTTCAGCCGGTGCCACGGTGGCTTTGAGATCAGCGCTCGTCCTCCCCGCCGGCGCTGCACAATGGGCTTTTCTTCCTCGGGTGGATCAGGAAAAAGTAGTGCTGGTGAGGGGTCCCTTGCGCTGTCAGCTGCAGGTGCTCCCTGCTTTTGCAGAACTTGGATTTGGGGGGGCCTAAAATAAGTGACCACTCTAATCCTGCTTAACTGAACCGGCGTTTCAATTGTGAAAGGCCTTACTGTCCTTTTAAAAGCATCCCATTTTTCAGTGACTTCGTCTTGTTAGCCAATTAGAATATGCAGATTTACTTAATAGTTGGGCGGATTCAGATAGCATTATGGGAGGGTAAAGGGAACATGATGCATAGAAACGTATAGAGTGATATTTCAAGCATGGGAAGAAATCAGTGTTAAGAAACAAAGACCACCTTTAATTCAGAGACTGTAGATGAAGGGTTTTTTCCTTAAGATTCTCTGAAAACTTGGAATCTGGTTTAAAATGAGACTGGCCATTTACTGTTTGTGATTGTGCCCGGTGCTGCGGTTCTCCCCAAGTATTTTGATCGTGATCACTATGGAGCAGCCTTTGTATCAGGGTTTTGTGTTGTTTTTTTTTTGTTTTTTTTTTGTTTTTTTTCCCCATCTCCAAGTTGCTTTAGTTTTGAGATTTGTTGTTAAACAGACGATTTATAAAAACTTACAGCATTGTGCTGCAGGGAGCTGGGGCTGCAGAAATGCATGCGTTAAAAAGAAAAAAAAAAACAAAACCCACACACCCCAAAACCCAGGGAAAAAAAAAACCCAAACCCAACCCAGAAATGAGTGGGGGGATGCCCCAAAAGCTGGGGCGTGGAACTAGGTCAGGTTTTCCCCCCGCTCGGAGCTGCGCGGGCGGGCAGGGCTGCGCAGAGCTGGCTGCAGCCCCCCGGGACCACCGCCGCCGCGCTCATTGGCGGGACGGGAGAGGGATGATGTCATCTTCACTTAAAGGCAAAACTAGAAGGAAATAGAATTTTGTTCCCATTATTGAGCTCGTGTTTACAGTAGTTGTAAAATATGGCATCCGCGCCAAAATCTTTAGTGGATTGGATTTCATGCACAATGCAGCGGGTTTAAAATGCGGTTGGGAGATGAATATCTGCCGGGTTAGCCGGGGGATGGAGTTGGTGCGCTATCGCTCTGCGTGCAGGCAGGGAGAGGTTTCCTTTAGCTGGGTGGGTTTTTTCTTTTCTCCTTGGTATAAATTGTGATGGTGATAACAGGTAACACAGCATAAAAGTATTTGGATGCTCATTGCTGCTCAGGATTTATCTGTGTGGCATTATATTTGATGCTTAAGATGCTTCTGAAAACAGTTTTGTGAATTATTAGAAAAGATGCAGTACAGTTAGATGCAAGGTGAAGCTGATGTGTTTAGCCTATTGTTCAGCATGGCAGGAACAGTGAAAGCAATGGCTATTTATATAGCAGGTGTAATGCATTTTAAAAATCTGAAGTAATTCTCTAAAATCCTTTCAGCTGTCTAATGTCAAATAGACCTTGGGTTTGCGAATTTTGCAAGTGCAGGAATGAAGTTCAGTTTTTCCTTTATGTTTAAATACAAATTAAACTCAGTAATACTTATGAAGCCTGGTTGCATCTATTATTTTCATTCTCTGATAGAGGTTAAGTAAATTCAGATACCAATGCCAATTTTTTTTTTCTAAGACTGTTTTGGAAGGTGCTAGGGGAAGGTTTTTTCTTAATTAAGGTGCAACTCCCATCATAACTAGGTTATATGCTGGGAAGAATTCCACTTCTGGATGACTGCTGAAAGGAGCTGTTGGTTTGAGATGGGGTGGGAGTCCCGTTGGTGTAACTTGGCTTCCAAAATGTAAGAGTCTTCTTCCCTTGGCACAGTAGATGAAAAAGAGCTTTCTGTGGATTGCCTCAAGCCGCCCGATGCAGTATTCAAGAATAAGCAAACAAACAAATAAAAAAGGGATTTTTGGCCCTCGCTGCCACCAGGCCACTCTTGGAAGCTTCTCTTCTCTACGGGGAGGTATGGCCATCAGGGGCTAGTTTGGTTTTGGAGAATTATCCTCGAGTCCGACGCAAACTGGAAATAATGAGATATATGATGATGAAAATTCTTTCCAAAGAGAGGAAAACGGAAACAGTGAGTGCCCCTTCTTGCAGATGAAGTAAATGATCCAGAGTACTAAATAATGGCTTTAACAGAGCCAGCACCCTCTGTCCCCCTCCCTTTCTCTTCCGTGCTTTCCTCCTTTCTTGCACGGTAGCAGAAGTCATTTGCCTTCTAGGAATTGAAAGCATCGTGGCAGTCCCGGCTCAAAGGTGTGGGATCTCGTAGGTGCTCCCTCAGAGCAGCTCTCCAGCAGGCTGGGCTGCCATCCAAGATACTAAGCTGCTTGCAAATATTTCAGGGTTTAGTTGCAAAAAGAAATTATAAAACTAAATTGACTACTGCAGAATTAAGGTAACTTTGGTTATAAACAGCATTGGTCTTGATTGGGGGGGGGAACCCACCCACCAAAACTTTGAACATGGTTTCACAACCATTAAAATAATGAGAATTATAAACATTACCTTTAAATAAGAAATTTGCTTCTGATTCTAGACAGAAATCTCCTGATGAGTGTATAGGAGGAGATGAAAATGTTGAGGCTCTTGTGTGACATACATACGTAAAAGCAGAAATTATTTTATTGTCAACTGATTACGGGTGTATCTGTGTGTGCATGCATGTGAATGTCTGCAGATATTTATTTTTCTTATGTCTAAATTTGGCAGCGCAGCTGAGAAATAATCCACCGAAATGCTGTTGAAAGCGTTAATAGATAGATGAGATTCATTTTTTTAAAAAATGATTTAGAAAAAGAAAAATATTCAGAGTTACAGTTTCAGGCATTAATAGATCATAAAATGCTATAAAATAGAACGTGGAGCAGGGGTGTTTTGCTGAGCAGTTGCTGTACCGATGTGTGTGTTTCTATTAGGTCAATAAAGATGCTCTGTTGGCTGCATCTGCAGATACAGTAGCCAATTGATCTAATGCAGTTTCTAAAGGCTTTCTATACAGGTGATGTCATCCTTTTAGCTCGGTTCCCCTCCCACTCTCTTTCCTCCTTATTAGATATTTCATCTTGCTGCGGAGCATCCAATCGATGGGAGCTTCTCCTGAGGGAGCTGCTGAGAAGCAAGCAAAGATAGTAGGAATTAGGACTCCAGCAGTCAGTCTTGCTGTAGCCATGGACGTACTGTTTTGTTGTGCATTACAGAAATGTTTTAATTGGAAAAGCTAGGCGTGGATTAACCGTGGTATCCGACTGATGCATTAGAATACTGAGCAACACTGCAGAGTTGTAAACTGCATTAAAAAAAGAAGGAAGGGGGGGGGGGCAAAAGAGAAAAGGGTTTGTATTGCAGAGGCTTTTAATACATTCCACAGTGCAAACCTGTTAGAGCATATATCCTGGAGCTACAATCCGGACACTAATTCAATTTTTGCAGTTATGATGGACAAGAGTATAAAGAAGAAACTTTAATATCCAGGGTGTGGGATTCCTGAATCGCCTAAGATGCTGAAGAACCTTTGCAAAATTTCAGCTACAGTATGAATGTGAAGTTTCCGAAAAGTGGACCTGAAGATAAGCCACTCGTAAATGCATTTTAGTGAAGAGAAAAAAAGGAATTTGAAGAATTCATAGCTCGCCTTTTAATGTATTGTTGCTTTAACCTGCGGTTCTAATCCATTTCAGAATTTATTCAATTTTAGCAGCACTTTTTGGGTACATGCCTCTTGCCTGGGGGAATGTATGAATTTTTGTATTTGAAAAGCTAGGAAACATTTTGATTTGAATTTACGTGCTTGTTCAAACTGGAACATTTTTATAGGAATTGCTGCTGCTGCTGCTGCTAACTCACTGCAATACTGAAAACTACTCAGATACAGTGGAAGCTGTAATCGAATTCAGTGTGAAATTCAAGCCTGAGAAGTTGCATGCATGTACGTTTGCTGCTTTGGTTTATGATTTTTAAAGAGAATCCAGAAGGGATTTTACTCTATATTTTAGTTGTGTGGCTTTTATTTGAGAAAGGAAACTTTTTTTCCCTCCAGCCTAAGAAATGGCTTTTCTTGTTCGATGTTATGCCAACTGCCTGCAACCGTGGGCCTCCAAAGTAAGTAAGATTTTTGTCTGTGCTGCATTTCTCTGACATGTATTGACGGCCGCGGTGCTGCTTGAATGTTCACTTCAAACCCTGAGAGCTGCCTGGGTGAGATGCTGGACTCCGGGCTCTGCATGGACTGTGCTTGTGGAATCATTTCTAAATGGGAAGCGGGGGGGACACCCTTGAAATCTTGGAATTTGTTTTATATATGAATAGCTTACAAATTAACAGGAAGTATAAAAATGCCATTTGCTTATGAAATGTGTAAAGCTTGCTTTTTAGCCTATTAATATATGAAGCAAGTATTATTGAAGTGTAACATTTTTATGACTGCTTGCATATATTGCTAACTTGAAAATATTGGTATACAAACCCACTGATGTTCTAATTTTCAAGCTGTATGAAGCTGTACTGCTTGTTTCCTTTGTGCAGCATTGTGGAATTGGTTAATTATTTAGCTGAACTATGTAATTACAATTAGCTTGAAAGGACACAAATTATTTTGTGTGTCTGAGGATGCAGTATTTTTGTGAAGCTGGGGAGGGAAGGGTGTTTCTTTTAAAGGAGATAATGAAATCTAGAACATTCGAGCAAACCAACCTATTGAGATAAAAGCCTTTAAAGAAATTAAGAAATAGACTGTTTGTCAGGCTCTTGCTCTTTGGTATGCTTGGTCAGAACATGAGCCGAGTTGCTGGTATTTTATTAATGCTACTGCCAAGAAGTAGTCACCTAAGACACGGGAATTGCCTTATAAACCTGGGGCCAAGCGTATATTCATTATTATTTATTACAGTTTTGTATTTACATTGCAGCTCATACAGGCTAGAATAAAGGTTGTGCAACTTCCCTGCATGTGAAAGCCGGCAGGGTTTCAAGGCAGTGGGCAAACCCCTTCTGCTCTTGACATCATGAGATATGGCATTGACTTCAGAGCAAGAAATTTGCTCTTGACTTTGGTCCCAAAAAGTTTAGAGTCTAAATGACGTGACGGTGCGGAGAGGCAGAAGGGAGAAACACAGCTGGGTGTGCAGAGTCCCTGGGCAGGGTGGTTCTCCCTGTTGGGTTTTTATGTCTGATAAAATGCTAAAGTGTACGGGGGTGAAAATGCTGGGCTTCGGGGTTTCCGTACGCAGCTGCCAAAATCAGTGTGTGAATACACGGGGGTACGTGTGGCCGAATTTTGGCAGTCTCACGTGTGCTGGGTCCACTCCATCATCAGGCGAAGCGGAGCTGCAGGTGCTCCTTGCCTCGAAGGGCAGATGGGCTCCGTGTGCTCAGCCAGGTAATTGTGGCTCCTCACCCTAGAGTTCCTGCGGGCAAACGTTGGCCTGTTTGTATCGTCACCCGTGTCTCGGTCTGCCTCGGCGCTCTTGCTTTCTTCCCTTTCTACTCTGTAGACATTAAATGTGAAAGATTCAGTTTACTTAAGCTCGGCTTACCTGTACCACCCTTATTAAGGAGGTCTGAACTTGTAATATTGCGTAAAAAATGGGAATGCTTAGTCACGTTGGTGCTTCAGCTGACACTGCTCTTACCGTAGAGTTTGGGCCAAAGTAAGAAACCACAAAAAAGAAACCCTGTGCTCAAGTAAGGGTTTTGGGAGTTTGGGGGGGGTGGGGTGTTAAAAAAAAAAAAAATAAAAATTGTAAAGGCTT